AACGTTGCTGAAACTGCAGTTTCAACGACATCTTCTTGACGGTGTCGCTGAAATGGTTTCAGCGATGGGGATAATGTCGCTGAAAATTACTTTCAGCGACATTTTGGTCCCTGCGCCGCTGAAAATGATATTCAGCGACATCGTCTGTTGACAATGTCGCTGAAATTATGTTTTAGTGACATTAAGGCATATACGTCGCTAAAAATTTGTCTCTGAAAGCTCCGTTTCTTGTAGTGTATTTGTTAATTAATTACACACATTGTGGAGTGGATTTACATACGTATAAAAAAAAATTTGGACAAAGGCTATTTCCTAGTTGTTCAGTATACGTCTGCTTTGACTCAAATGAACATTCTGAAGAAATTGTAGTTACCTCGGGCTAGATGAAGATTGAACCTTGAGTGCAAAGACATAAGGGAGCTTTGACTACAAAACCCACGCCCGTCGAGCAGGGACGAAAGTTAGCCTTAGTGATTCGATGGTGCCGAGTAGAAGGACCCTCGCTCAACGGATAAATGTTACTTTAGGGATAACAAGTTGATCTTCCCCAAGAGCTCACATCAAAATAGAGGAATGTCAAGGATAGTTAGAACTTGAGAAATCTCGGGAACGTGACTACTTCCTATACCCACTTATCTTTCGAGAGTATATTTATGCATTTTCTCATGATCATTTTTAAAAAAATGGATCCTCATCAATGTTCAAAGCCACTAAACAATACTATTTCTAAAAGAAAAAAAAAACTACTAAACAATATTGCTCTGAAACATTGAAATGTAATCTCTATTACACTAATTAAGAAACCTTAAAAAATCGTGAGAGAGAAAAGTAAAGAAGAATACGTATTTATATCTCGGCCAACAATACTGCCCTGAAAAATTGGGAAATATTTAAAACGAAAGGATCCTGAAAGAGAAGAAAAAAGAGAAAAAAAATAAGAAGAAGAGAAAAAATAAACCTCAAATAATTGTGGTTGGAAATAAGGCAGATGTTAGAAAACTTTTGAAATTCTATAACCTTTTAATATTCTATAATTAAAAAGGTACATTATAAATGCAAAATTAAATAAAATAGAATTTTAAAATCCAATGCACAAGGAAAGATATAAAAGGTTATTTTGGTGGGTTGGTTTGGGAAAAAAATTTGGATGGGTAGAGAAAGAATTAATAAGAGTGAATGAGAAAGAAATATTATAAGAGAATTAAGGGGGAAATTTTGCTTAGAAATATAAAATTAATTTGAGAAAAGTGAAATTTGTAAAGATAGAGATAAAATACTTTGAAAGAAAATGAAAGAAAAAGCGGAGAAAAAAAGAAGAAGTGGCGTGGGAGAGTGTGAGATAAAAATTTATATTTTAAGCACAAAATTACCAAAAACAATAGTGAAAATGTTTAAATTAAAATGACAAAATTAGGAGAGAGTTTGTTTGCCTTTTACATCTACCATTAGATAGATTAATAATACCTCATCAAATGAGTTGCACACCTTATTAATAAAGATAATGACTATACCTTCTTCATAATCCACTTTATTCACTTTTTCTCTCTAACGTCTTGATTCATTCAAGTATTTTTTTCGTTGAAAAATATTTACGTGTTTACCGGTCAACACCCATCATCTTCTTCACCACCATCACTGATAATCTCACCGCTCTTCGTTTAAAAAGAATAAAAAGAAAATCTCATTTTTATGTCTTACTCTCTCCCATTCATAAAAATATTAATTGACATCAACGAGAAATGAGCGTAAACGAGTATGCAGCTAAATATTATCCTTTCTTGTGTCCCGTCTAATCTTGCAAAATAACAAATGATTTACTTTTCTTGGTCATCTGATTTTACAATAGTTACTATGTCACCACTTATTCTTGCAAAACACACATACACCTAAGACATTCAAATTCACCATGGAGGATATGCAAAAGAGCTAGCTTTTCTACTCAACAACACCACTCCCATCAATGGCCTCCGCATAGCAAACCAGCGGCGCCGCCATCTCCGCTGCAAATCCGGGCCCTAGCCT